TGAGTTGCTCGCTACTGAGTACAGACTCGTCAAATAGGCTTGAATCAATTTAACATCACTGACATGAATCGCCTAACTGGTCTAAACAAAAATATCGTCATTACGTTGGAAAAGAATACAGAGTTCCCGAGAAAATCGACGAAATAATTTACTCCCATACGAATAGCAAATACTAGTCGCCGTACGGGTGACGTACGAATAGCTACTCCGTTAAAAAAAAGTCTCCTTCAACACTTCCCGCTCGCCTACAAAGGTTCGTGCTGTAACCAGGCATAACTAGTCGAATAAAATTACTGCAGTCAACTCGGCTTCAATGATTGCTACCCAGAGTTCCTTTCGGTCCAGTCGCGTAGGCTTGAGTTGGTCGACGACAACGTTTTTTGAATTGAMTGTATTGAATAGGTTAATATYATCTAGAAGGACATGAATTCATTTATGAGATTAACGCGTTTTTGTCTGAAGTTCCTCGGCACAAAATATAAACGRCTCTTTTTTTGTGTKTKTTTTAGAAAATAGTTCACCATGATACACAGCTTGGCACGGATTAAATGCCCGGCAGTTTTTAGTTTTTGCCCAGTTCCCAACTAAATAAAATTAATACTGTAAGCGATTGAAGGTTGCAAGGGGGAAAAAAATCTTGCTGAGCTCAGTAAGCCCAAGTTTCAGGTCACCCATCCAGGTACTAATTTCGCTAAACCGGACTTGACACAGTATTATTGAAGCCCAAGTTTTCCCCACTGGGCCAAGGTTCCAGGTTAATCAGCATAACAATAACCGTGAAAACAATGCACCGAATAGACTAGACTTTTTAACAAGGATTTTTCAACCGATTCCGTGCGTGGCAGAGATGCAAGGGATTAGCCGATATGGTCTGGGGGCCGGCTAGTCTCTCTCCTGATGCTTCGGCTAAAACATTTTCTTGCGTAATTCGTGCACCCAAGGGCAGAAGGATTTAATCGCCGTCAGGTCCGAAGTCCATACGACGCCTCAGCTCTGCGGATGTCTCGGGGGTATGGCAAAGTGGAGTCGATTTTTTTTGGGTTGGATTGAACCCCATTGCATCCAGATAGCATGTTCTATTTTTCAAAAGTATATTATCATATCATGAATTTGTTAATGTCTTCTTATTTTATTACTTTTTTTTTCGATTTAGAATTGAAATTAACTACACAAAATATCAATTATGGCTCAAACCATCCCCACTTCTCTCCCTCCTATAATGGGACACATAAAGTTTAGGTTTAGCCATACTACTAAATCAGGTAAGAGGATACTTCTAAACCAGGTAGCGATACTCATAAATCACGTTAAAGTGCCTATGACCCTTAATTTGTTACTTTTTTATATCGAAATATAAGCTATTCTAAGAAACTCGTCGAAAGAATTTTTTGATTCTGACGCTTCTTTCTATTTTTTTCGAGCGGTCAAAAGTGCGAAAATCGGCATTTCTTTGACCTCTGGCCGCGTGAAATGATAACCTAGGGGACTGGGCTGTGACGTCATAGTAGTAAATTGGGTTTAGATGCTTCCTCATTCTCTCTAGATTTCACTAGTATTTATGACCAATTTTCCGGGATTTTTTC